CTCCCTCCCTCCCTGGGCGCTCAGAGGCCGCGTCTCCCTCCCCCCCATCCCCCCCGGCCAGGTACCACCTGGCGGTGACGCGGCACCACCCGAAGGAGGACACCAGCAGCAGCATGTACATCCAGAACAACCCCTGGGAGCCCAGCGTGGACTTCGAGCGCTTCCTCGAGGACAACGAGAGCCTCGACGACCAGGTGAGCGAGGACACCCCTTCCCTTCCCTTCCCTTCCCTGTGCGCCAGGAGGAGGAGGAGGAGGAGGAGGGGCTCCACACGCCCCGCGGGGGGCTGCCTCCTCCCCTCCCTGCCTCCCTCCCTCACCGGAGGTGGTCTCCTCCCCCCCCGCAGGACCTGGTGGCCTGGGTGACGACGGGCTTCCTCCACATCCCCCACTCCGAGGACATCCCCAACACCTCCACTCCCGGCAACGCGGTGGGCTTCTTCCTGCGCCCCTTCAACTTCTTCGAGGAGGACCCCTCCATCGCCTCCCACCGCACCGTCATCGTCCGCCCCGCCAAGGGCACCCTCGGCCCCGGGGTGGCCGTCCAGCGCTGGACGCCCGGCAGCCCCGGCAGCTGCGTGTCCGACGTGCCCTTCAGCTACGACGGCACCTACTCCCAGGTGTAGCGCGCTCTCGGATGGACGAAGCCCCTGCCCCCAACACGCGCGCACACACGCCTGCCTGCTTCCCTGCAGCCCCTCTGTGGGGCAGGCTCAGTCTGGGGGGGGGCCCTGCATAGCACAGCCACAGCATCTGACCACTGTTGGTGCACCGTGGAGGTCCCCCAGAGGCCCACCGACCTCCGCCTTGGGTAGAGGGCGGGCGGGGCAGCTGGCAAGGCAGCCCTGCCCATAACCCCGGGAACAGCAGCACTTGAGGCTGCGGTTGTGGACTTTGACGCCATAAAATCTGTCTCACAACACCCGCATTAGGGATGTTCAAGGCCACAGAGCAGCCATAGACTCAGAGCGCTTCAGAACAAGATACAACATGAGCCTGTGGAACTCACCCTCACAAGATGTGGTGTTGACTAGCTGGGCAGGGTAGCTTTGAAAGGCAGAAAGGGAATGCCGGGCAGGTCTTCCTGATGTGGGGCTTCCCTCAAATTTCCCTCAGGGTATTCTCACCCTAATCAGGGGCTTGGACTCCACTGCCCCGCTGTGAAATGGGAACCTAACGACCTACCTAACAGGGCTGGTGTGAGACAGTGGAAGAGGCGGGGGATAGATTCAAAATACAGAGCTGTTGAAGGCAAGCCCCGAGTCCCCTCAGCAAAACTCCCCTGCAGTTTTTCAAAAGGGCTTCTGGCGGCCGGGGTGGGGGTATTGGGTGCCAGGCTCCGGCAAAGACAGGGTGCTCCCCCCAGCTGCCTTGCCTGGCGCACAAAACGTTGTAGGCAAATTGGCATTAAATGAATAGGATGTCAGCGTTTTTAAACGGCACTTAATTATGAGCTGTGCTTGGAAATACAAAATAAGAGGTGTATTTATTTGGTTTTGATTCTTCTTACATGTTCCGTGTCCTGCCTTGCTGCCCAGCCGGACCCCCCAGGGCAGCGCATGACTGGAAGAGGGCTCCAGTCCAAACGGGGCTCCCCCACACTGGACACCCTCCGGGGACAGGTGGCTTGCCAGGAGACCCACGGCGACCAGGGAGGGTGGTGGCTGGAAACGGTGCAACTCGCAGGGTCCGGCCCCGCTGCCTCCTGGCCATTGTGGCGATGGCCGTGCGAGTGCTGGGAAGGGGGGGGCAGGTCTGAGCCCTGTTTGAAATCCTGCACAGCCGGGCCTTCCACCCATTTCTGCTGGTCTGCAGCACCGTCCTGGCAGCAAAGCCTTGCGCAGGACACGGACCTCCAAAGCGAAATAGGCACAGAGGGTGCCAACCGCATAGGCCGTACCTGACGTGAGACTCCCCCCTCTCTCCCTCGACTGGCTGCCTGGTGAGCCAGTTCACATGAGACCATGACCAGATCTTTTGGCGGACTGAAAAGGTGCCTCCCGATCCCTCAGGCAGCGGACTTGTGGGTTTGAAACGGCAGGCTGTTGACACCCCTCTCCTGCCATCACGCCAGTGGGGGGGGAGGTGGCACCGCTGAGGGACGCAGCAGGGGCCCTTCAGAACGACCCTTCTAATTCACCTGCAAATATAAGCCATTCGTTACCCACCTGCTGGATTATAAATCGTCCGTCCTCAGCAGAGGGGTCTGCCCCTTTCTCCACACCCTCTGGAAGGAAGATGCGGATTCCTCTCCTCCTAATCTTGTCGCAGAGCCACAGAGGCTGAGGGCCCACACCCCTCCCAAATGAACAAGAGACACTCCGACACACCCTGGAGTTGCCTGCCAAGGGAGGTGGGCTGCTTGCGACCTCCCTCCTGTGGGAACAAAATAATGAGGCTTGGGGGGGGGGACACAAGAAGACTTCTGGCTCTTTGTGCTGCAGGAGACCCCTGCGGCAGGGGTCTCTCCCCCCCCACTCTGGACAGGAGGGCAGTGGGCAGGTCGTCTGCGAGAACCAGCTAACAATGCAGCGATGCTGGACGGAACCAGCCAATGTACCTGAGCCCAGGCTTTGCCTGGAACGTTTGCCCTCCGGGCCCTGGGACACTGGCGAGCCTATGCAGAGTGCTTTTCTCTAACCCCCGTGGAATTCCTACCACCCCACCCTATGGAAAGGCATTCCTCTCAGATGAGTGGGCGCACACGGGACCTGCCGATGCTCCAGACCCACAACACCACCCCACACGCATCTTGGCACTTGCTGCCCAACTCACTCCCCGGCCACAGCTGAGCCTCCCCCTCCCCTGCCGCTGCCAGGGCCCAGGGAGGAGGGAGTGGCTCCCAGCAGGGCCCACCGGCAGCCCCCCCCTCCAGGCCTGGGTGGCGTTTCCTCCTTGGGCCCTGCCTTCCTCCCCAATGGAGACCCAGAGCAGCTGACGTGGTTCTCTGCTCCGCTCACGACAGCCCTGGGAGGCAGGTTAGGCCGAGAGTGTGTGACTGTCCCAGGGTCACCCAGCGAGCTTCCCTCACGGCAGCGTGGGGATCTGAACAAGTGCAGAGGCCACCGTCTTGGAGAGCAGCTCCCCAGGCAGAGCTCAGCAGGGTGGCCCAGAGGAGCCTTTTGCGCGGGGGGGGTCCGCAGCTGCGGAGGAGGAGGGTGGCGCTGGTGCCCTGCGCAGGAGGACTGGGGAGGGCTCCAGAGCAGCCTTTGTCCAGCGCCGTGGGAGGATTTCCGCCTGCTTCCATCTTGAGGGGGAAAGACCCCCGCACCCTCTCTCTGCCTCTCTTTCCAGGGCCCCTCCAAGGGGCCTGGGTCACGCGGACTGTGCTGCAGGACCGGTCTGGCCACAGCGAGGCTGGTCTGGCCTCATGGCTTTCACAAGGAAGTTGGGGCCCAGGGGCACGCTGGAGACCAACGCAGTGGCGTCCCAGGCATCGGCTTCCATGTGCGTGCACTCACCTCCAGAACGGAACTCTGTTGGTCTGAAAGGCGCCACTGGACTTGCACGTTGTTTTGCTGCTGCAGGCTGAGCGCCTGGGCCACTCTGCCTGGGACCACCCCGCTCTGAGCGGTCTGCTTTCCGCCCTCCTCGGGGAGCCTCCTCGGGGATGGCTCCGGGGCCCAAACCAGACCCGTCATTTCCCTGTCAGCTGGGGCGTTGGGGCTTCCCTGAGCCAACACACATTCCCTCTGGTGGTGGTCCAGGGGTCCCTCGCCTTTCTCAGCCTACAGGCCCCTTTGGGATTTTAAAGCCGAGGGCGGGCTCCATGACATGCATGGGATGGAGCAGGTAGAGAAAGAAGTCCTTTTCTCCCTTTCTCACAATACAAGAACTCCTTGTGGGCACTCCATGAAATTGCTGAGCGGTCGGGTTAGAACGGATAAAAGGAAGTCCTTCTTCACCCAAAGAGTGATTAACACATGGAATTCACTGCCTGAGGAGGTGGTGGCGGCTACAAGCACGGACGGCTTCATGAGGGAACTGGATAAACATCTGGAGCAGAGATCCATCAGTGGCTCTTAGCCACACAGTATAGACTCTCAGTCTGGGGCAAAGGATGCTGTGTTCTCGGTGCTTGCTGGGGCAACAGTGGGAGGGCTTCTAGTGCCTTCGGGTAGGGCGGGGTAGAAATTCAAATATAAATAAATAAATAAAATAAATAGTGTCCTGACCCCACTGCTGGACCTCCTGATGGCCCCTGGTATTTTTGGCCACTGTGTGACACAGAGTGTTGGACTGGAGGGGCCATTGGCCTGATCCAACACTGGCTTTTCTTATGTTCTTATGGATAAACATATGGAGCAGAGATCCATCAGTGGCTATCAGCCACAAGGTGTAGATAGGAACTCTCAGGCCGGGGCAAGGGATGCTCTGTCTTCTTGGTGTGTGTGTGTGGGGGGGGGCAACAGGGGGAGGGCTTCTAGTGTCCTGGCCCCACTGCTGGACCTCCCAATGGCCTCTGGTATTTTTGGCCACTGTGTGACACAGAGTATTGGACTGGATGGGCCATTGGTGTGATCCAACATTGGCTTCTCTTATGTTCTTATGTCTGGAGCAGTGATGCTCTGATGTTCTATGGATAAGCATATGGAGCAGAGGTCCACCCATGGCTCTTAGCCACAAGGTATAGATAGGGACTCTGGGGCAAGTGATGCTCTGTTTAATTCTTGGTGCTGGGGAGGGGGGTCAACAGTGGGAGGGCTTCTAATGTCCTGGCCCCACTGGTGGACCTCCTGGTGGCACCTGGTGTTTTTGGCCACTGTGTGACAACAGAGTGTTGGGCTGAATGGGCCACTGGCCTGATCCAACACTGGCTTCCCTTATGTTCTTATGGATAAACATCTGGAGCAGAGGTCCATCGGTGGCCATTAGCCACAAGGTGTAGATAGGAACTCTCCGTCTGGATGGGCCATTGGCCTGATCCAACATTGGCTTCTCTTAGGTTCTTATGTTCTTGATAAAATGGCCACCGCAGGAGGCAGGGCGCAGCAGGGGCACACACACACAAACGGAAGGAGACTGGTGACCGGAAACGCCCAGAGAGAGACTCCAAAGAAGCCCGAGGAGGGACAACGCCGGGAACAGGAGAAGCTGACCAAGAAGGGCACACGGGCGGGGGGGGGGGGGAGGGCAAAGGGGGCTCACACACACACACACACTCACGGAAGAGGAGGGAGGATAAACACCCCCTCCACACACACACACACTACCAAGGGGAAGGTTATAAGAAAAAACACACAGAGAGAAGGCTACCAAGGTGGCAGACAAAACATCCAAAGGGGTTCTGCCTTCGTAGTGCAGCACAGCAGGGCCTGCGGGCACCAGGGGCCCCTGGGTGCCATCGTAGGGGAAGGAAATTCCCCAAGCGTGCTGGGCCCAATTTGGATGGGGAGCCTGGTGTAGAGAGGAGGAGCTCTAGCCTTCTCCCCCCCCCCACCCCAGTGGCCTTTTCCTGACCTAAATCAGTCTGGAGCAGTATTGTGGGCCCCCTTGGGGATCGGCAGGCAGCAGAGCAAACAAGGCCCCCTCGGGTTTTGGGGGTTTTTTTGACGTGGAAGCACCTCCTGGTCCTCCTCCTCCTCAGCATTCAGCAGCTGCCCCGCGTCTGACACCACCTGCAGAGAATGTCCCGCCTCGCCTGGTTGTTGGTGAAGAGCCCCGGCCTCTCCGCGCAGGGAAGGTGCCCCCCCCCCAGCCCCTGCATCATCTTGTGCTTCATCCTGCCCTGCGATGCCCTTCCGGAGAGCGTGGCGTCCAGAGCTGCACGCAGTATTCCCAAGACTGCTGACACAGAGGTCGGCGCGAGGGGGTTCCAGTCTTGGCCTCTGTGTTTCCAGTCCATTTCCGAATGATCCAAAGCACAGAGTAGAGGCTGCCGGGCCCCTTCCTTGAAAGGCAGACGGCGGTGCTCTGGCTCCGGGCCCCAGGCGTCCTCCACACCCTGACCCCAGCCTGGGCCGGAGGTGCCCGGAATCAACCCCAAGCCGACACAAACACGCCTGAAGAAGTCCCCCCGTCTGACTTGAAGTTTATTGGCCTAAGTTGCTAATGCTGAGTACAGCATGCGGGGGGCACGGGGGGGGGGAGACGGAAAGAGACCGGGGGGGGGAGGTCACGGGCATCCAGACCCGGGGGACCAGCAGAGCCCGACACCCACTGGGGCACCCCCGGGGTGCAAAGGAACAGGGGCTCTAAGGACCCCAGTGATGGTAAAAAGACCCTCCTCCCCCCATTTCACCATGAGGAACCAAGGAAAGAGGACGGGCAAGAACCTGCCTTTCAGTTCCTGTGGGGAGGGCGGGAGCCAAAGCTTCCCTCCCCAACCCTTACCTGGGACCTCCGTGGTGGGGCAGAGAGAGGGGCAAGCATCCCCCCCCCTCGGACAGCCGGTAGGACGGAGGTTGTGGGGCCAGGAACAGTTCATGCTCCTGGCTGGGTGGGGTGGGGTGCACACACACAAGTATCCACAGGATATGGGGAGACACAACAGAGACACACAGAGGCAGGAGAAGACCCTCACCCACAAATGTTCTGGAGAAGTTACTTCTCATATTCCTCGGGGGGGGGGAGGAAGGGGTCACGCCTGTCACAGCAATGCAACAGAGGGCAGTGGCCGACTGCCTTTGCCCAGCGGGCACCCGGCTGTGGCGATTCCTTTGGCGCCCCCTGTGCCAGTCCGTGCCTCGGCTCTTGCCACGCCCCCGCCGGGAGCCCGCTCTCCCGCTGCCACCATGTCCCACTGAGCCCTCTGTGCACCCGCCAACGCCCTGCAGCGGCTGAAGCAAACTCCAAACGGGCATTAGCAAACGGCAGCTTGCTGCAGCCTCCCCCCGCCCCGGATGACCGATGGCCTGGCCAGGGGGAAGGAGGGAAGTCTGCGTCCAGGGCAGTGTGTGTGTGTGTGTGTGTGTGTGAGGGGGTGACATGAGCACGGACCCTCACCCTCCCCCATCTCTCCCCAGTGAGTGACTCAACCCTCCCCCATAGGCAGACCCCCAAGTGCAGCCAGGCGGGGCCGGGGGGCTCAGACAGATCCCGCGCGGGGGAGCTCCTGGCTCGGCCCCACAGGAGCCCATGTGCTTAGACTGGGGCAAGCCTGTGCTGTCCCCCCCCCATGGGCGACTCTGCACGTCCCCTCAGCCGTGAGTGATATGTTTGGGGGGGGGTCACAGGTGGGGGGGGTTCCTAACCCGTACTCATAATTATTCACGACGCCTGCAAGCAGCCAGTCTGTTCATCGACAGTCCCCACCAGCCAGTCAGCTGGCGGTCCTCCTGGGTCAGCCCCGCCCTGGTTAGGCCAGCTAACACGGTGGGGGCGTGGGCCCGCCCCTGCTCCCGCCACACACGGAGCGTCCTTGGGGCTCGCGGCACCCCCCGTCCACAAGAGGGGGGCCGGTTCCAACTCCCAGAAAGGCCTTTGGACCGGGCCTTGCCCACAGCGCCATTAACTGCCGGGGTCCGAGCTGTGTCTCTGCAAGTCTGTGGAAGAGTCCGGGGAGGCCGGGGCCAGCTGTCCAGGGAGCGAAAGGCGGCGAGGCGGCCCCAGAGATGGCTCGACCAGCAGCACCACGTCGCTGGGATGGGCGGGATGCACCGACGGCGCAGGGAAGCCGGGCACCTGCAGGGGAAAGAGGCACGGAAATCGGAACTCCAGAGCCAGGCGTCTCCCGCACGGCAGAGGCCCATGTGGCAGCACCCAGGCTGGGGGGCCCTTTCCCGTCATACTGCCTCCCAGCACTGGGATCCAGAGGCTAACTGCCTCTGATGGTGGAGGCTCTCTTTAGTCCGCCACTCGCACCTGATGCTCCTCTCCTAGCTGAGCCCGTCTGATTCCCCCACGTGTGGCCATCACGACTTCCGCTGGAAGTGAACGTGCCACCGTCCCATGAAGACCTGGTGATGGAGACGCATTTCCCTTCACCTGTCCTGCCCTCAGGGGTCCTCTCCTGCCGGAGTGCACCAGAGCAGCGCTCCGGCATTAAGGAGCCCAGGGGCGCCCCCCCTCCACCGCCTAGGGGGATTTAAATGCATTTCCCCAGATGGGGAAGGGAAAGAAAGGCATTTTAAACATGGCTGGGTTCCCTGCCCCATCTTCTCTAGGCCTGCCCGCCACGGCAGGTTGGCTGGGGAGGGGAAGGGGAGGCGGGCAGACATGCCCCCTTTCCCCCCTGAGCCTCTCCACTTTTGCCCAATCTTGAGAAGATCAGGCAGGGAACCCAGGCACGCTTGCATGCCTGCCCTTTGTCAGAGGGTGTGGCATATGCAAATGAGCTATGCAAATGGGCCCCCTGCACCTCTTCTTCTACGAAATGACCCCTGCCTGCCCTGCTGGCCCTCCACATCATTCAGGGCTCCTAAGTTCTAGCATTATGGGAGGAGGAGAAGAAGAAGAAGAGGTCCTCTCTGTCCATTTTCTCCTCCTCCCCACCCATCACCTTAGAAACCTGCACCCTGTCCTCCCTCCCCCTTCCTTTTTGCGGACGGACAATTTCCAGCCTTTCCTCATAGGAAAGACGTTCCAACTTCTCACTCCTCGTGCTTGTAGTTGTTACTGTTATATCCTTTTTGGAGTCCCTGCCACAGATGTGTACAAGGACATCACAATATTGCAGGGTTTTGTTTCCAGTCCCTTTCCTGATAATCTCCAACTGGGGGGCGTTTTGGACAGCACACGGAGTTGACATTTTCACTGAGCAGTCCACTACAACCCCTCGGCCAGTCCAGACGTCCTTCTCCCGCTTCAGGCCAGGACGGCTGCCCACCTGGATCTGTCAGGTGGCTGTTCAGGAGAGCACAAATGCTGCCTTCAGAAGGGGCCTGTGTGGATTCACACACAAACACACACCCCATGACAACCTGCCCGCTCCACGTGGTATCTGTGGCAGAAGCTGAGATTTCAGAAGCGACATTTCAGGAGCAGCCCAGGGGAGTCTCCTGGCGGAACGAAGAGCCTTGTGGTCTCCCTAGCTGGCAGGGGGAGGAACAGAAGGGCCAGGTGTGGGGAGGGCACAGCAGGCGGGTCCCAAAAGGCAGCCCCCTTTGGGAGATCCAAAACTGACCTCCACGACCACCAGGGCCAGAATATTGTCCGGGTGCTTCAGAAGAAAGGAAGTGGGGGTCCTCCAAATGGTGTGCTCAGGTGAGCCTGGGGCCACATCCAGACTGCCCTTTCTCACAAACCGGGGGGGGGAGCTGTGATGTCCTCGCTTATTGGGGAATATGGTTTTACCTTTAAACCACCCTGTGTGTACCTAAACTTGGTAGATTTCTGCTGCCACCAGGAATTAAAAATTCCAAATCTCTCTCTTTTGGTAGAATGAATCAGGGTCTGGGAACTTCAGAGGACTATGTGGCCCTGAGGAAGGACTGTTCTGATTGCTGGAATAAGTTTAAACAAAAAATGATTCATTTAATAAAGAACAAAATAGGTTTCTGGTTATTTTGAACTGTTGCTGATGAAAGGAACTTGTAACTATAACTGGCAATGCTTGGTGCCACAGACTTCCAAAACTCCACTCTGACAGGCGTAGACACTCATTCTAATCTCTCTCTCTCTCTCTCTCTCTCTCTCTCTCTCTCTCTCTCTCTCTCTCTCATCTATATAGCCACACAGGCTGAACTCTTTGTCTTATTCACACAGAATAGACTCAAAAACTCCCATACTGTCACACAAACTATGCTCTCCCTTCAAACTTCACACCTGAATCCCTCTAATCGACACCCCTCCTCCCACATTCTCAGTCACCAGCCAATCACATCACACTTGTCTCCCTCTATCACTCTTCTCGTAATCCTGCAGTCAAACTAAACATTTAAAGAAACACACACACCAAAACAAGAAATCATTACAGGCCCTTCCTGGCAGAAATGCTGGCCACCCCCTCCACCCAAATGAGCTGGGGGCCCCTGGAGTGAACGATCCCCGCATGCGCCCTGCAGGTCTCGCTTCCCCTCCCCCCATGAGTCGTGGGCCGGGGATCCCAGGTGTCATCACGGAGTGGGCAACTTACCTGAGCAGGGGGGCGGAGTGCCTGGGTTGGAAGGGGGGCGGCAGGCAGGGGGCACTCTCCCGGGACAGGATCTAGGCCGGGGGGCGGCAGCGGAGACGAGACAGTGCTGTATGCTGGCGGCACCAGGACAGCTTGCCGCTGCAGCAGCTGCATGACGGCTCCCATGTCTGCCGTCAGGCGCGCTTCCAACCTGTGGGGAAAGATGCGATGGTGAGAGACAGCTGGGAGGGGAGAGAGGAGCTTCCTGGGGTTCTCACAACCTCCTCTCCCTCCCCCTCCCCACAACAGACGATGGACACCCCGGGAGGCGGGTGGGGCCGAGAGAGCTCTTGACAGAGACGGCTCTTTTCTCAAGGGCAGCCCTTATCAGAGCTACGGCTTGCCCCAGATCACACCAGCCAGGTGCAAGTGGAGGAGGAGGAGTGGGGGGATCGGACCCAGTCCTCCCAGATTAGAAGAGGTTGGATTCATACCCCATGGCCCTTCACTACCTGGAGGAGTCTCAGAGCGGCTGACAACCTCCTCCCCGTCCCCACAACAGACGGACACCCCAGGAGGCGGGTGGGGCCGAGAGAGCTCTTGACAGAGCAAGGGCAGCCCTTATCAGAGCTTACAGCTTGCCCAAGGCCACACCAGCCAGGTGCGAGTGGAGGAGGAGGAGTGGGGGGATCGGACCCGGTCCTCCCAGATCAGAGTCCTCTGCGCACTCCTAACCACCACACCAGCCTGGCTCTCTTGGGCCGCCAGCCAAGGCTGTTCCCCCCCCACACACACACACCAGCCGTGCCTGAATTCTCACCCTGCGCACGATGTGTGTCTCACCCCGCCTGCCACGCAGTGCCACCCACGAGGCTCATCGCTTGTGCAGCACCCCTGCGGGCCCAGGCAGTCGGGAGGCCGCTGTGACTGTGGCTGGCCCGGAAGGCATGCCCTCACTACCCCCACCCCGGGGGGCCAAGCCAGAGTTGTCCATGGCGGGGGGCCCTGCTCACCACCGCCGCCCTTGGCACAAGCACCCCCACCGCCACCCCCCTAACCTGTTGAGCTGCTTCTGCAACTGGTCCAGGCGGCTCTCCAGCTCACAGCGATGGCGCCGCCCCCCGGCGCTGCTGACCAAGGGGATGTTGAGGGTCGTGTGGGCGGGAGCAGGGCAGCGGGGTAGCTCCTGGTACTGGCGCTCTCGGCTCTCGCCCCAGAAGCTGAAGATGTTGGACACGCCAGAGAAGGCCCCTGAGGGGCGGAGGAGAGGGAGTCAGCCCCCACCGCCAGCCAGGCCTCTGCCCTATTTCTGCCCCAGGGGGCATGCCGGCAGGAGCGCTTTTGACTAGAGGAGCAGAGCCCTCCCGGGAACTGCCCCTTGGAAGTCCTTGCTGCAGGACCGCCCCCCTGCCTCCCAGCACCCGCGGCCGTTTAGGAAAGGGGGTCCCTGGGCAGTGTTCCCCCTAAGCTGAGTGAGTGTGAGCTAGCTCACAGTTTTTTCGCCTCCGGCTCACGCATTTTTGTCTTAGCTCAGGAAGGATGGCTCCAGAGCCAACTAGTGGAGAGCCAGTTTGGTGTAGTGGTTAAGTGTGCAGACTCTGATCTGGGAGAACCGGGTTTGATTCCCCACTCCTCCACTTGCACCT